CCCCTCATCCTCAGCATAGCTGAGAAGCACGGGCATAGGCCCGCTCGACGAGCTGTTGGGTGTGCATTTCAGCCAAGTCGTGCCAACTTGAAATTGAATTTGACATTCAATACCACATTCATCGCCTCTTCGAATGAGGACAGATGCACACGGAAGACTTCCATTCTGGCCACGCCAGAGCGGAGGCCTTCCATAACACGGTCACTGTGACCGCCTCCGGGAGGGGATCTGCTGCCATCCCGGCAATGAGAGTTCGCAACTCTTGGACAAAACCCACCAATTCCTTGTTGCCCTGTCGGACGGCAAGGAAACAATATCGCACGCGATAAGTCTGATTAGGCGGCGAGAATACTCGGGAGAGCTGCAATTTTAGCTCTGCCAAGGAGAGAAACGCAGCTCCGACCGAAGTGCCGCACGTCAGTGCCCATTCGCGCTCGACAACCGAGCTTTAAGATGGCTAGCGCCATGCGCTGTTGCTCGATCTGGAGCATGGCGGATGCGATGGCCATCTCGACCTCCCTCACCCAAAGCAGGAGATTCTCTCCATTCTTCCCCTCAAAAACCTTAACGCTCACCAGGAGCGGCTTAGGTCGGGGGAAGTCATCCGTCACCGACGGTGGCATCATAGACGCAAAAGATGCAGACATCTTCTGCTGCAGGTGCTCTAGCAGCGCGTTTTAAAAATTCTAAAACGCCTCTAGACGCGCATCGATCGCCTTGGGGCCTTGTGCCAAAAGGTGTTGCACGCACTCAGGGCCAAGCAAGGACATCAGCTTATCAAGCCCGTCTTGCATGCCCTGGGGCAAAGAGGAAAATCCCTTCATCCTCGAAACGACTCAGGTGTTCATTGACTACAAGTGCTACCAAGTGCAGCGGGGCTACCGTAGCATTGCGCTTGAGGAAGCGTCTTTAGAACACCGACCTTTCGTTCTTTACAAGAACCTAGTACTAGTGCAGCGGATCACAATCCGCTGCCTCTAAAAGTACTAAAAAGCCTTACTAAGGCAAACGAACACTTCTGTTCAAAATCGAAACTGATTTTTATAAATATTTTTATCCTACGCTAGAGTTTAGATTTTCCTAAATTAACGAAATATATAGTAAAATCCAAATACATGCATAACTACTGGCTAACTAGCCCCGTACCGTAGTCTTGTTTGGGTGTGTGGTCCCATCATGCACGTCTCGTGCTGTCATATCATCTTGTGTAGCTCATACTCAATACATAAGGGCACGTGAACCCCGTATAAAACCATGACTTCTTGAGAGTAGTGCTGGGATGAAGCAAGCCTCGATTCATTACAGCTCCGCACACTTTTCAGAATTTTATCAATTGCAACACATGCTGCGTCTGACTCCTACGCGGTTTATATCGCCTCATCGATCTGCGACGTCACCAACATGGTAGTTTGATAGTGATGCAAATGAAATCCTCCTTCCCTTTAGACTGGCGGCCCGACTTACATCCCACCAATACTTATACTCCATAAAGTAGGGTAACCATCTTGCCTTTCGTGGTGAGTGATTTAGTGACGACATCGCTTGCGCAAGATCGGATGATCATTATCGACTTCAAATTATCGAGAGCGAAGTAGGTGCTTCATGAACTTGACAAGGCCATATTTTTAGCAAGTAGCACTTTGTCAAGAAGGGAATAATTCTTATCGGTCGTTCTAGCTGGCAAGTGACGACACGCTCATGTTAGTTGGAATTTTTTTGGAGTAAATCAAAGCGTATGATCAATTGCTACAAGAAGCTCATGCGTCATCCCCGATTCGATGCTCGATACACCTTAATCGTACCACCTACCCCACTTCCCGCAGTGACGTATATATTGTTCTTTGATAGTGCCTCACTTTGCAACAATCGCCTCAGAGGCGCTGTGTCTACAAACCTCCACAGCCGGAGTATCTTGGGACACCGCAAAGGTCTATGCTCCCCGCGGCAATCAATCATCAAGCGAGGTACAAAAGTCTTCTCATAGGACTTTAGGCAGCTTGCCAGCACTCATGACCAGATCTTGCCGTCGTTGCGGGCAGTGCATTCATCATGCGAGACATGCGCGATTATCAGCCACCAAGGAGCCCAAGATTTCGTGTAGCGTATACCGCTACTAGGCGGATGGCAGATGAGTTTGAGATTTGTTTATGGTCTCGCCATCGTCTTGCGTCCAACACGATGGCGGGCTCCAAGGCTAACAAGATATTTGGGTGCATTTATCGCAATCAATGTACTTCAGTATTCGGTCAGTCAGATGTTTCTTGGTCGATGAGATCGACAAATACTGCTTTGAGTCGATTGCAAAGAGATAGGACATGGAACGGGAAATTAAAAATGCTACTACGCTACTGAAGCGGCTGCTGTACGGAGACATTTTATCATTCTGGTGTTGAATTAGCTGGAAACTTTTTTCGCCTGATGAAGAGTTGAGTGCACATGCTGTTAACATAGATAAGTAAACAATTACGCCCTTCATGGCACCTTTCAAGACCAAGATGCTTACAATGACTTGATGTCTTGACATATTAGTCCGATCCGATGAGCATCTCACATCGATAGATCTGAACATTGTAGGTTAATGTAATAGCAGATTAAGAAGCATTTCTTCGATCTGATACATTTCAATACGTCATAAAGTTTCTAGCTATGCATTTCGAAATTTGTTGCTTCAAGTAAGACGATTCTGACAGACATACTTCACTGACCGGATGCTTATAGATGCCTCCACGTACCGTTTATATTTGAAAAGAACTGCTAAACTTAAGCAAATTCACTTCTTTGATTGATTTTTCTGTCGATATCGACATTACTTACAACTCTAGTGACTGGTACAGCAGAAGTCGTGGATCTCGGCGTTTCTGCCGCTAATCCCAATGGTACCATACAAACAGACATGCAGTCGACAGCACGTAATAAGTATAAATTTGTTGAGGAGCGAGGACTAAACTTGCGGCCATTGAAGCAATCAAAGAGAAATTGGTGTGGCTACAATCCACAGAAGAGAAGATTTCAGACAAGGTCCATATCATTACAGCGGATAAAAAGAAAAAGTGATCAATGGAAATACAAACAGTGTAACGGTTGAATCGCGATAAGTAAATTTGTCAAACCTATTACGCCGAAAGCCATACGACAATATGGGTGCTTGCTGTGGTGGCTTTGCCAGCAAGACGAATGGAAACTGGACTTTGCGATCACATAGTTAAGAAAGAAAGAAACCTTAAGCAAGTCTTTATCTATAATGATCAATGAACCACTTATCAACTCTCATAAGTTTGGCGATCGCTCATTGTATTTGGTCTTAAAGAAGGTTAAGAGCATCACGTCACCACTCGACATCTACAGCTCTACGAACCTGCCAGCGCTAGAGAGTTTATTTTGGGCAGGACGACGTTGTCAAATGGTATAAATTTTCTCAACTGAGAGACCCCAATCCCCTCCGTTTGTCGTTGGCGTATCGACGTTGTCATACGTTCAGCTACGATATGCCAGAATAATGTCAAGAAACGAGTACTTCGGCAACCAGCTTTGAAATTTCTTCATTCTTTCAGCTTGCGGACTTTACTATGGATGTTGCCCTATATAATCAAAATGTTTTGATATTTATATCAGATACGATGAATGAATCTTGCGCATAAGCTTACAATTTCCCATGTACATCACATATCCAACACTTTTTCTAGACTTATGTAGAGTTGTCTAATTAAAACCGAACCTCGACCTAACCTGGCATCTTCGAAGACAGAGGTACTGACTGTCTTCTTTTTGCACAAGGATATCTTTTCCGGATGTTCCACTTCCTACGCGTTCTGGCAAGAAAAAAATATAATTATTAGGCTAGTAGGAACCTGAACTTACCCGTAGCGTCATTAGGTCTGGCCACTCATACTGTGCAGGGCTCTCTGCAAGGGCATTCAAATCTACACGCTCATAATGATATAGTGCTAGTCTTAAAAGAGTTGTTGTCGGAGGTAAGCAGTCGTGTCTCGATTATTTGAACTCTGATGCGTGCTGTGCAAAAAAATGCTGGCTGACCTAGTCAGCTGCTCAAGTTTCCTAAACTTTTTCCCTCCATCAATCTCTTACTCTTATTCTATAGAATTTTTCTAATTTGTACTTCAAAAAGTCTCTATTGCCTTGCACTGTTACATAAGATTCGATCTCTCCACTAAATAACAACTCACGAAGCTGAAAGAAGTTATCAGTGATGACTATGAAGAAATATTCGGAGAAAGACATAAGCAGATGGCTGGATTAGCCTCTTTTGTGCGGAACACGAAAACTTACGCTTGCTAAGGTGTGATGTACCCAGATTGGGACTTAAAGTCACATTGTTTTTACTAAAATTTGACTAGTTTGGTAAGATAGATACTTCCACTCGACCTTCTTATTGAAAAGGACGAAATGATGATCGCCAAGCTTCAGCTGCTTTACCGCTATAATCTGGTTTTTCTATCGAGTATGGCATTACACATGACTGTAGTTACTGCTATAGCAGCAGTCGTGAATCCCCGTGTTTTGGTCGCCCATCCGAATAGTACCATACAATTGGACACGCGGTCGACAGCATATGATGAGTATGATTCTCTTGAGGAGCGAGGACCAAAATTTGCGGACTCTAAAGCCATCGGAGGGGCTCTACCTTGGCTACAAACCCCAAAATTTTTTAAGACGCTTCTTCGACTACGAAAACGACTCACGGAGAACCAAAAGAAAGTGATCGATAGAGGTCTTAAGGGTCAGTCGCTTACAAACACGATTAATCGGTTAATTAGGTCTATCACTCCACAAGCCATAAGACAATCGGAAAGTCTGCTATGTTTGCTTCACGGGCTAAACAAAGAGAAGCAGGAGTTAGCGATTGAACACTTGTCTTCACAGCTAATGGAGAAACAGAACATCAAGCCAGCTCTGTCTATTTTGATGAACGAACGTGCTAATACTGACTATTATGGAGATCGCGTATTACATGCCGCATTAGATAAGCTCAAGCTTACCGTGTCCCCAGACAAGATGTTCTTTCTTATGGAACTTGACGAAATCACTCACCCCAGAGAGTTTATCATGAGCAAGGACGTCGTCAATTGGTATAAATTTGCTAAACGGATTGAACGCGATCCCTTCCATGTGTTACTGAATAAAATGAGAGCGATCGAGGAGAACCAGAAGGTGTGGGCCGAAACTGTACTCGAGCAGTTCAAAGTGGAGAACACTATTTTTCTTGGAGACTTGCTGGATGGGCTCATTCCATCCGAATCATACCATTTGACAACTAGTATTGCTGCCAATTACCTAAAAAGTGGTACTTTCAGAAGAGCTTTTCATCAAGACGCCAATGCTGCCTTGAACAAAGTAAGTTTGATTGGTTGGATACCGTTGGCCAAATTGCTGTATATGATGCGTGAACAGGGCAATGAACAAGGTCTTTATTTCAGAGCGTTTATTCATGTGATTGAAGACTGGGAATCTGATATTCTCAGTCTCAAAACGAATTTGTTAGCAAATAAATTATTTTTGGACTGGATTGCATTTTGGGAATGGCAAAATGGAAGTGGCATGCAGAAAGCAGAGGAGATTCTGCTGCAATTATTGAACGGTAAGAATTATTGGACTTTTATTCTGGCATCATCGGTAACTTCGAAGAAGTTTTCTCCTGTCATTTCGAAATTATACTTCCATTTTCTACTCAATAGGCCCGTAAATTTAAGCTAGAAAGAACACTTTCGTTTTTTTTTCAATATGACGCTCATTTCCAAGTCATTGTATAAGTGCGACTTTGTTGAGTCACGACGTCCATATTTCAGCACAATTCAGACACCTTTGAGCAAACGATTCACTCAGAATTGCTACGAGCTACTACCTTACATTAAATGTCTTGCATACACACCATTAGTTCGCCAGTATTGCTAAAAGTTATCATAGGAACTTAAATATCGAAAATATGTCAGTAGTTTGGTAAAATCGTGTCGTATTGATAAATTAAGAATACAGCTAGTGAAGAAGTTAACATCCGAGCTACAGCGTGTTTGAGACAGCTAAATGTATCATTAAAGGCAACAAGAATAACGACGGTGGATCGTTAGCCTCGATGATAGTTGTTGAACACAAATCCACCAAACGGATTGCATTTTCATGACCAAGTATAAGCAGCTTGTCATGACTTCAAGCAGCTCTTGGTACACTGATGCTGCGAAAGATAGAACAAAACTATCACTACGCTGTCAACAGCTATCATAACGCATCAATCGCGTAAATGCGACAGACGACGAGCTACAGCGTGTTGTTATCGGGAAGATGCATTATCTCGGCAAGAAAGTAGATTGTTTGTCTTGCCGACGTTCACACGAACCAATCACATACGTTGCGTTATTATAAGAATCTTGTCATAAATACAAGCAGTCCTGTGGTAGTACACTGATACAGCCATAGATTAAGGTAGACTATCACTACAATATCCAAAGATGCGAATGATCGTCAATCGCACAGATTTAAAGGTGAGCTTGAGCGTTGTAAACAGCAAGATGCATCATTTAGGCAACGCTACTAACGTCAGTACGTTGTTTTTCTTGTGGACAGCTTTCAGCACGAATCTAAGACATACGTTGCGTATTCATCTCCAAGAATAAGCATCATTGCCAGCAAACTTCCAGTATGTTCAAAAGTAAGACTTCATCGGATATTTGTTTGATACTTGGCAAAAATAATCGCGAGAATATAGTAATCGAGGTGATTGATATGTACAGTGGCACTTTGTGAAGCACCGATATTTTAATATTTTTTAAAGCAGAACAACCTCGGTGAAGACATGTATCATAGCCACCGGCCCTTCCTTCTATTCTCAAAGATAGAATTTTGTTTGCTTTCACTTCCTGGACGGCTTGGCGTAAGGTATATTTGTTGCAATGTTTGTCAATTGCTTGCTATACATAACTATAGTTCGACGTTAACGCTTACAAATAAGACCAGAACTTCCGAAGGCTTCTGATTATTTAGGGTGAAGGTAATACAAATTGCAGTCAAGAATCATTAGTGCAGGTATATTCTTTTTTTTGATGGAGCGTAGACAACCCATTGTAGCATTGACGTTGCGCTCAAAGATATAATGCGTCTAAGCGAAAATTGGACGAAAGATATAATTCAGCATTCAATTTACAAGCTTTGACATATTAGTAATAAGGTGTAGATAAAAATAGCAAATGTTTTCTCCTCCTTTTAATTTATTACCTTGAAAATGGGCGTAAATTTCTAAAGCAAATTTATTAATCTTCTGCATCTCTAGTCGGCCTAAACGTCTAAATGATATAAATTTGTTGGCAGTGACAAAAAGTTTATCGTCCTCTTTGGTGAATCGTGCTAACTTCACATTCTATCTAAGCAGTTGGCCTTGTGTTTGCCCTACGCGCTGACACTTAGCATATACCGTTGCGTTTCTACTTGCTGTCGAGGACGGTGATAAGTGTTGAGTCATCACACAGCTTAGGTTTAGCAAGCAAGCATTATTATTCAATCTGTAAACTAATTCTAGTTTTGATATGCTATTTTTGGGTATAAACCGGCTTTGTAACGTAGCATATGATTTTACTTCTAGAAAATGCCGCATAGTTTTTTTAATTCTAAGTGTATTAATAATCGTTTATTTTTATCCGGATCAGACTTGGTTTCTATCATCTAATCGACAAACACATTTCTTATGGAACACAACATATCGAGTGCTTGCAACAGTGACCTTGTGCGGAGTCAACCCTCATACGATCAAAATGAGCATCCATTTCCGTATACTCGCTCCAAGACTAGATGGCGTAAACGTCCAAACGATGAACTTAAGTACTTAAAAGATGAAATTGCTGTGCTTGAGAGTTTACTTGAGACTTTAAGCCATCCGGGCTCTAAATCAAAGTTGTTGAGCACTGGTGAAGGCGGTAAAGGGAAGAAAGAACTTGAAATGCTTCAAAAAGTTTCGGAGGCGAGTCATGAGCGAAAGTTAGCGGCTGCTTATGCAGAAAATCGTCGACTGAAGAATATGGTTGCGAGTTATTTTTATGTGGCCAAGGCTCTACAAAACGCGCTTGACGAAAATATGCGATTACGAGCACGTAAAGTTTGCTGGCCTAATAGTACCGCTGCATCAGATGAGTTGGTGTTTGCTTTGTTGGACGAAGAGAAGGAATTGCAGTACGCAGCTGTAGATAAGGTTTTGGACGCAAGCGGCATTGCACGAATCTATCATCCGTACTCTGCAAAGCTTGAATTTCATCGGGACGCAGAAGGCGTATATTTCCAACATAATGACGTTCGTGTGCTCCCGTTTTCCGTGGAAGACGTTGTTAGTGCTTTGCGCCACAGTCTATCGCATGGAGCAAATGTTGGTCCGTCTCATCACTGCCAGAAATTCTACACACAGGATGCATTTTCGCAAGTTGTTACACTAGATAGAGTGGAAGTTCCGGGCTCACTCCCAGCGCAAGTTACTGCGCGACATTTGTTATGGTTTGTCGTCACACCCTTCCGGACAGTCATTAACTGGTCAAGTTTTAATGAGTACGCCGGGGCGAAACACATACGACTTCTAAAACGATTGTGGCACTCTGTCGAGCCCATGACTTTGGATGGCAGCCCTAGAGGACAAGGTTGTATTTTACGCACAGTTGTTCGCTTTACACCTGTGGACCCGGAGATTAATCTGAAGGACATTGAAGAGATGGCAGATGTAATTATCTCGTGCTACAATCGCGACTCGTTTCGAGTTGTGATGGCTGTAAGAGCGCAGCTTGCAGCTATAGCTGCAGCAAGAGATCGAGGAACTATTTTGTAAACAAATACAATAATGCTTTTTAAAATAATACATTTGCGCTAAATTTTAATTTTTGAAGTCTTTCATGTAAATGTGTTAGACAATCTTACGATTCGCCTCGACAATTGTTTGAGCCTCAAACGTCACATTGCCGTCTATTCTAAACCTTCGGCTCTTTTCTTGTGTGTGACCGTGTAGTATGCTTGTAATATCTAGGCCGCACTTTAGTCCAGTGTAACCTACTGCCTCTTTTCGGTAAATTCTGACGTTTGTTAAATACATAGACACAACTGTACACCGTACGATGAACTAAGTAGCACCGAAAGTGATTGAGTCATAAAACGACAATAACTTTTACGATTCCGTTTAAACACCACTACTTGCTACGTGTCAAGGCTAAACCTTGACTCTTGTCATAATAAACTTATTTCATGAGTGTCTATCCTACTCTTGAACCATTCAACTGCACTGCTTTTCTTCTCGTGGTATCGATGAAGAGGCGATATATATTCTAGCGATATTCTTCACCATCGAAATTACGGGCGTGATCAAGATTACGGAGATTACGGACTTGGTTGACAACAATTTTCTAATTGTTTATGCTTTCTCAACGTTTATCAATCTTCGTATATTTTTAAGCTAAAGACTACATTATATTGATCAAAGTAATGCGTGCATAACAAAAGGATTTGTATCCAGTAGCCGTAATCCGCACAAAATCATGACGAAGTCAAACATCGTTGAAACGAAGATTTTCTATCAATTGTTGACATGTTTCGTCACTGTTGTTGCTCATTAAGGCGTACGAACATTTATAGCTAAAGACTACATTATATTGATTTAAGTAAAGCTTACACAATTTCATTGGTACCATACTAAAGGCTAATGAGTGATAATTCGTGCATGACAAAAGGATTTGTATCCAATAAAGCACAAAATCATGAAGCCGAAGTAGCTAACAGATCGTTCAAAAGAAGGTTTTCGATCAATTGTTTGATCAAACCAAAATTGCGATGGTACGTGTTGAGAATGAGGTCGGTCATTTCTTCAAAATGACTTTTAGCGTCACTTCCGGTCTTGAAAACTACCCTCTCGGGCTTAATATCGACCACAGCACGCAGGATACTGCCTAGAGAAGAGATACCATCGCTTCCACCGAGAAAGTTAAAAGTCGAAGTGACATTAAATCCTTTTTCACGAAGACGCACGAAAACAGACCCTGCAATCTCCAAATAGCTACTCCAAACGACCACGACGCGATTCGCCTCACTAAATCGACGTAAGGCAAGTCGAGTATTCACTTTTGTGTTACGGGATTTAGAAAGCTGGATCGTGTCGACGAACGTAATATTTATATGGTCATCGCTGAGGATACGAGTCTGAATGCTACCGGGTAAATCGCCACTATTGAGAAGCAAAAATGACCACAAAACTCGAGCCACAGTGACCATGGAGAATGGCAACAGACGGACTTCTCTGTAAGAAAATAAAATACCTTTGGCATCTTGCTTGGGCTGAATTTTACTTAAAAATTCGCTATTGACATTCGCAAGTCCGCTTGCTTCCAGCACGGCATCAACTTGAGCATACTGTTCCTCAAGCGTGTCATTCAGCTCTGCAAACAAGTAGTCGTCTGTGATACTTGGTGCGCGCGGGCGATTACCAGTGTTTTCGTAAGGCGCATGGACATCAAGTCCTCCAACGTTGAATGAATTCCATGGACTAGCGGATGTCATCGCTTCGTTTTGTTGCTCAGTAATGGCACTTTCGAGTCGATGTGCAATTTCGAGTTGAGCCTTCAACATCGCACGTAATTTGAGATTTTCAATCACCGTCTTGTTTGCTTCATCCTTTTGTCTTTCAGCAACCTGCTTCCAGCGCGCAAACAATTCGCTACCGTTATTACCAACGAAAAACTCTCGTTTCGTTGACTGATTGAGTTTCTTCAGTTGCGCTTCCAAATGAGCCACAGTTGCACGAAGGTAATTAAGCTCGTCTTTGGGACGTTTGCGTCGATGCGGCTTGGCCGCTAGATATGGTGTCAAGCGAATATCGTTTTCTTGTGGCTCTGATTGAGGTTGTACAACAGTCATAGACACAGGAATTCGATTCTCAATCGACTTGTCGTACAAATGTGGTAACTTTGATTTTTCATAGACTTCGGCAGGGACATTTGTGTCCAGCGATAAGGGATCAAGCGTCGAAGGTGCGTCCGAAGTAACGCCTAGCATCTCGTCCAGTGCAGCAAGTAGGTCGTCGTTTAGGCCTCCACTAAGCGGAGACATGGGTGCGTCATGAAACGCAATTGGATGTGCCATGCGCGACGCAATAATTGGAATATCGCTGGCTTGGAGATTGGCTTTATTTATTAGTAGAGCCATAAAACTGTGATTACTCTACAAAAGCTGAAACTTGAAGGGATGGAGTAATCCCTTGCAGTCTACATGAAAGTGGTCCTGCTTTCTCAACAGGGATCAGACGAGATATAGATTGTAAAGTGTAGGTCTTTGTATGTGGCACTTGAGGAATGACTATAGTAGTATTTTTAGTGTGTGGATCTATAACGTCCCGCGCTTGACGACTAGACGGACAGAAGGCTGACGTACCACGATTTGTATTCAACGATGTCATTGATTTTTAGGTAAGACTTCTGGTACGGCACACGTTTTAGTTTGACTAAAATATGATGAGATGTGCGAATTGGTGGTGCAGCAAGTATGGTACCAACTGATGGGAGTGATAAGACAAACACCTGTGTCTGATGCGAATTTTTTCAAGCTGGCAAACATCCGGTAAGAGAATCTTGCTTCTGCTGTAACCTTGAGTAGTAAAGATTGACGCGCTTACGGCTATCTCGATTGGATTTCCCATCACTGCCCAGTTTTTTACAAACCTGCCAACTTTACTTGTACAAAAGTATAGAAAAGTATTAGGACGAAATCATGCATCACTAATTAGAGAATGATGACTTGATTCCGCAATGTGCTTTGTAGTAAGTAGTATGCGTAAACGTATCGTTGATTGTGGCGACAGAATAGCACAGATAAACATGCGGCTCTTATCTTAGTCTGTGATCCTGGTTCCACATTTGATATCATCGTAGCCAACCAGATGTTAGACAGTAACCTTGATGACCACGTTAGTATATCAAAAAGGCGTGTAGGGGATGTTTGCGTTACTCAAAGTGATGTCGGAGGAGCGTCAACTACACTACGTCTAAACCCTAGAGATCACCACAACATGATTTCGAAACAATACTTACAACATGAGCAATGAAAGATTTGAGATTAAGCATGTGAAAGTACTCATCACTTAAAGAGTACTTGAAGTTACATTCAATGTGTTTTGAACAATATTAGGTACAACATACTCCAGCGTCCATATGATTAGATGATCTTACTCATTACAATACATTAAGTTTGCTACGATGAACACTGTTCCCGTACCTCACACGTTCCACGATTGTTCGACTATATTACAGATGACTTAGTAGCCATAGCTTCATTCGATTACCTAAATACTGACCTGTGTCTGTTTTCATTACAGGTATCTGGTAGATATAGATATGTGCGTAGGAAATTCCCAGGTGCTCTGTCTCACAATCTCTTGTGACAGTACTGGATCGATCTGGCACCATTAAGCGGAAGGGTTAAGTTCTACGTATTCGGACCCGAAATGCAATGTCTGACAATGTAAGCAAATCTGATGTAATCCTCCATATGCCGGGAGCACATTGAAATAATAGTAAATGACGTAAACGAATGCTATAGTTTTACCTTTATAGCATTGTCATCAAGAAAGTAAAAATTTCATAGTCGAATCCTTTCAAATCCTTTCCTGTACTCCCTTTACCTGATTTTCGTATCACTGGATCTCTATCTACTTTATTTTTTCATTGTCAAAGTAATCGCTCGTGTTTTTGAGAAGTAGCTGGACAACTCGCTCTATATCAATTTGTGAGAGGAAGAAAGGCCTTGCAGTCAGTTATATTTGGTACTAAGAAGATTCACAAAGGAGAGATCCGTGGTACACGTTAGATAACATTTGGATATTTTGAAGCGTATATTTCTGCATTTTTTTTAATAGCATCACTCCTAAGTACATATCACTCAAGCAAGCTGAGTAATAGCTACATCTGAGGCTCTCAGTTCAGCTTCTGGATGATTATTCTAACCAAACCTCTGTCCGATTATCTGACGCTAACTCTTTGCGTGGAGACTATCTCTATGCAAGCTGCCTGACAGCCCCGTTGCAATTAGTCGCACTTGTAGTCTATCCCACGATCAAGTCGTTAAAAAACCGTTTCCGGTTGTAAAGGTATAATATGTCTACCGTTCCCGGGATATCTAGGGACGCTTGAGAAACTCATATGATTTGTTAGTCCCGAAGGAGTCCAGGGACTAGCGGTCATAAGCCAGATATGGCAATCGCTCGTCTGGAGGTGCTCATCAGCACATTTTTATTGTTGGTGGACATTTCGAGGAGCGTCATACCCAGACGACATCCATGGCTCCGATTGAACCCACCGCTAGGCCACTTAAGTTAAGTATAAAGCCCTTTCGAGTTCAGTACGGAGATAGTATCTCTCGCTCGATCAGCGAAGTTGTGATGGTGATGAATTTGGTCATGCTTCAGACAAAGCAACAATACACTGCGCTTGTGGTCTCCAAGCGATGATGCCGCGTGCGAGAATAAGCACTAAAGTGCAGTGCTTCATCTTAACATAAAAAAGAAATGAAACGTGTCGCTAATGCTCGCATTGCCGGGTATATCGGGTGCGTTTCAAAGTGTTTGGTCGCGCGTCAAGCGAGATAAAAGTTAGCAGATTATATTTAGGTGTTAAGAATGCGCATCTTGACGACTAGAATTGAGGCTTTTTGCAACCGTCCAACCTCTTTCAAGCAAGCAGTAGAAGCGTCATGCAATTACATACGACGCACGATTGTCAAAAGAGTAGACAGTACACAAAAGCTTTGAATATGCTGATATACGGATATGAAATTCGTGTTCTTCCTACTGGGAATCTAAGCGGAAGTGTCGAAGGCTCTGTTGAAATCTTGACAAATTTGAGGACTATGACTTCGTTTAAAGCTGCCTCATCCTGGACAAGGATACAAGGATGAAGTTTATCCTTATCATGCAGTGGCTTGAGAGCCAAAAGTCTTGGATGGAATGGGGGTCAAAAACGTTAGGAATCACGCAGGTGGGGCCTTGGCAGCTCAAGAACCTCCTTCTGGCAGGAAACTGAAACGCTCCTGGCACGTATACAGATTTGGTGCAGGGCACGGATTTGTCTGAACTGAATATTCAGAATTGCTTGGAACATAGAACAGAAATCGGAAGAAATTGGAACTGAACCCCGGGTTTAAAAAATAGGAGATAGAAACAATCGCATGTTGCGTTTTTCTGTTTGTCGACCGAGACAGTATTGACTACTGTATTTTGTAGTCCCCAGAGGGTATCTCCAATTTTATGGTTTATTATAGCTGTAAGCGGTACTTGAGCCAGCAGGTTAAGTGTCGCGGTCTCATGTGCTAAATCTGGTATCGACAAAGTGCGCATGCAAGTCGCGAGTAGAATGACGAGACCCTAGAAATAATAAGAATTATTAATCATAGAATTAAGTAGAATTATTTACCCTTGTCACGATGTGATCTTTCTGCTGAGTCATCGTAAGTCCGTCGCGCAGAAAAAAGTAGATTTATGGGTAAACAGCATGAAATTGTGAGCAAAGTGGCCGGGGTAGGTCCAGGAGTTTTAGTTTCACAATCACTACTTCTGGTAGAAGCTTTGAATACTTTAACGAATTATCCCTGGAAAATGCAAAGAATCTAACACGGTGGGGTACATTCGGTAGTGGAGAAGAATTCTAGCTCGCTATTTGTTATTGCAGACTCTTAAAGACCACTAAGGGCAAGGAGTGGGGCAGCCAACAAAAATGACCCCAGAAATCGTTCTCATCCTATGTTGAAAAATGCCACGGCGTCGTGACGAGACAGTTACTGCCCCGGGTGTGGGAGTGCGTGATGAGATTTACTTGGATAACGGAAACGGACACTGCGTCACTCGTCAATAGCCCTTTTTAGATATATATTATGATGACGATAACTCTATTTCACGTGCGGAACACGGAGCGGGGTTAGATTTATGGAATTAGTCTCTCTACTCGGAAGGTATATGGCAAGTGGCAAATTGGCAAATTGTGAGCGCTGATGTTAACTCAATAATTACACCCACTATCCCGGCGCAATGACAAAATTTGAAAAGGACGTGATACAGAACAGCATGGTCGCTTGCACTTTGTTCGGTGCTCTCGGCCTGTTTAGTGGATATTATCAACTGCTAATAAAGGGCAGCAATATCCTTTTTGCTGCGATAAATACGTCAAACAGGAGGCTCTGTGTGTGATTCTTACTGCTACAGGGAGACTCGGTCACACGGGAGCATTATATCGTCTGATGATGCAGCTGTTTGGGCCACATCGTGCCTAAACACAAACCTATTTCGACGATACATTTACTCATTGTTCTGTATAGCTTGGGGAAATTAATGTGGAGAGATTCATTCAACACTTGCTAGCAGTGCTAGAGAGTATGCGCTTCCATAAGCTTTCCGCCAATATAGCCAATTGTGTATTTACCGCTGACGAGATCCCTGCTTCATTATAAGCATGATCTGAGGGCCAACTCCGCGAAATTAAAGCTCCTTGTAGTTTGCCAGTATCTCTACCCCAAAGGAATTAAAGGTTGTGACTTGATGTAGCCAATTTCTCGCACAAGTCTGGGGTAGATTATGCCGACATGACTCGACCCTCTACAACCTTTCTGAAAAAGATGTCTGATGGTGCCGAGGTGCGTTAGAGAAGGCGGCATATAGAATCCTCATGCATCCATGAGGGTCTTCAATCGTTATTGACCATTCCATGTCGTCATACGCAGAGATTTTAAGAACAAGCGCGTATATCGCATTTGAGCTCAACCAGCTCAAACTGGTAGGGACGATCTCTTGTTTTAACAAGGAGAGCTTTGCCTTGAAGTATGCTCTCGTCAATTTGAGGGTGCACTTGTTAGGCTCTCAGATCTTTGTAATATCTACAGATCATACGTTGTGTACAGCGTCGTCGTGGTCACATTTCTTTAGATAATCTTGAGAAATATACAAGCCGGGACGTCAAAAATGCAAATACGCAATGACTTGAAGTAGCGCTTATCATGACGATGACGTCACCAATTTGTGTGACGATATATACAGCCTACGCGTCAGATGTAATAAGTGCTGCATTCCGGAAGGGAGAGATTTGGGAAGCGATGAGTTAGGAATATTTGACACTACTTTATCAAAGCGCGTGGTTGCACTCCTAGACATCTATGCAATAGACCAAAGAGTGTTGTAACCAGCACCGATCCACTTTGCACTCAGCATGTATATGGTGGTTGCTCATGATGCAGGCCTCAAGTACAGTATACGGCACGAGGCACACAACATGTGCAGCGGGGCTGCCAAAGCTCTTTACGTAGAGGAAGCTAAGCTAAGGTTACCAACCTTACGTTCTTTCCAAAAACAAGTACAAGTGTAGCGGATCGCCATCCGCTCTTTCAAAGTATTAAAGCCTTACCAAGACAAACGAACATTTCTGTTCAAGAATGAAAATGTATTTAATTGTTTAGTTGGGCAGAGCCACCAGTATCTAAAACTCTAGGTCTCCTGATTAATATAGTAATACCTAATTAATATAATTACATGTATTACTACTGGCAATCCTGCCACGTGGTGGCTTCTTGTTACGGTTTGGCCACGCCACTGGGTTATTTCACTGACTGTTATGCATACCTATGTACGGTCGCACAATCTTATGCGACCCGTTCTTTCTCACAAGGGCACGTAAAATCCCGTTACACTTTCTTCCATTAAAATTGTGAATATCCTTAATTCGCATTTAACGGTCGCCTCATACGTGGCTTGCGTGTCTGAGGCACCTTCACGTTCATCAGAACAGCTTTAAACCTTCGCCGCTCTATGAGCACTGTGTCTACGACAGACTAAACACCCAGCCTAGCTGATAGCGAGTGCGCCCGCAGTCAAAGCTCTTCTTTCTCTTCTGCACAGGGTCCCCGGACAGTACGTCCGCGGCTTCACGGGAAGCACATCCCAAGCCCTCGGCAACTGGGCGCGACACAACGCACCCATCTTGGGCGACGTATTTTCTCGTCGAGGAGTTGGAGGAAGTCGACTACGAGTGGGTTGCTCCTTTCCCAAGATGGTATGACGAGGAAGATGAAGTTAGCCAACGGCGCGACGTGAGCCCAGCTCAAACCCTGCGGACAACATGTCCATTCCCCGGTTTATCGGCTTCCGGGGAAGTGGTATTATTACCAATCGCCCCGACGAGGCACAGGAGCAGCAATTGGAGTGTGCTGTTCACAGGGTGGCTCTCCTGCGCTCGTATCCACGGTTTGGTCTTGGATTCTCATTTGGAATACGGCTTCCGCTCGGTAGATCCCGCTATTGAAGCAAAAGACGCGATCACTCGATCGTTAGGCGTTTATGTAGTCGGGCCTCCGGCTACTACACAAGCTAAACTTGATCAGCGGAAAGCTCCGAGAGCTTGCTTTTTGATACTCCAAGAGATCCCATTGGATCGGTACCGCGCTCGACTTTGAGCTCGAAAAGGGGGTGCTTCTGCTCACGCAATGCGGACCATCCCTGTGGTGCTCACCCCTGGCGAAACCGCGGCAGATGACGATGAGCTCTCCGAGCGATGGGTGCATCGGCACCGGAAACTGTCTTCGCTGTCTAACTTACAGCGAAGCCACGAGAAAGTGGACGTGCGCATTGAGCGCCATCTTCGAATTGAGTTTGCCAAACTCAGGCACAACGCCAACTCTCTGCGTATTGTCTCCCTGCGGGATATGGAGCTATCCAGAACGCTCCTGCGAGCTCTGTGGTCTCTCACACGGGTGAGTCTACGACCACAGCAGCTCAGGGATAAAGCTTGAGCTCAGCTCATGGCCTTTCGGCTTCCCGGGCTACTGCCAAGAAGTGCGGTGCGCTAGACGACGCGAAGTGACATGATCCTTCTGATCATTAGCGTCTACGACGTCTGAGCAGTCTTGCCGAAGTGGTACCTCAAATTCCCACGAGCTCTCGGAGTTCGGGTATCCCCGCCATTTTACAAAATATTGGGTTAAACCCCGTCGACGATGTCGATTCACAAGGCGTTCCAATTGGTAGTGGACACCAATCTCATCCAGTAGAGTCGGCGGCGGATGATGACTGCTTGGCCAATCGCTGTCTGGTATTTCGCGATGCTCTTCAAGCGTTGGAGGACAAAGTAAAGTCCGTCGTCATCAGCACTTTGCCGAGCATCTCTCCGAGGTCGCCGACCGCTGTGCGGAAGATCTCGACAATCTGGAGCACTGTGTGCACCGACTGCCTCACGTTGAGGGTTTTCGTGCTTTGTCGGAGAGGATCCTAGCCGTCGAGCAGGCGAATACGTCATTTCGTGTGACGGTGGAGCATTCTGCACCATCGGAAACGGAAGTTGTTGCACTCCGTGCTCCGAACCTGCTGCTGATTTAACTACTGGGTGGCCGTGCGCCTCTGGGCGCCGCCCCGGCGCTGAAGCTTCCGCGTTCACTTGCCACGGATCCCGCCCAGTACTGCTTAAGCGAGACCACATAAAACACCGGGTGGGTGCGTCCTTCTCGGCAGGTTCAGCATTACGCTAAGCCTCACTTGGCCACGACCTTAAGAAGTCCGATAAACCGTGGACGAAGCTTCGTCTTAAAGACAGCCGAAACTGCATGTGTGAGAAGATTTTTAGCGTTTAATCGAGTCAAGTTTTCGACCTCAATGTTCTCAACATTTCCTCTTCCTTCTTCCTCTGCATGTCTTTGCTTTCAGCCATCGCATCGCGAACGTGTCGTAAAATAATCAGTCTAGCAGTCAGGAAGTCTACGACTTCTTTACGCACGGTGAGGGGGCTGACATCAGCTAGTTATTCGGCTATTTTCCCCCCACCAAGGTTTGAACCATGGGATGGCGGCGTCAGCGGGACCGATGATTAATTAAGCCCGTTCACGTAGAGCGGCGTATAGCCGGTAGATGAATGCACTGCATTGTTCAGAGCAAACT